CGTTCCGGCCGGTGAGGTGTTCGACGTTTCGGTTTTGACAGCGAGGGAGGGGGAGGAGGGTGGAGAGAGGTTTGGGGGGGAGTCGATGCGAGAGAATGCCCGGTTTGAAAGGGGAAGGAGAAGTATCGAGGATGAGTAATTAATTTATGGTCGAATGAGTTACGGTTGGATAGATGACTGTCCTTACGTATTTGGTATCGGGAGAATTCCGTGGAAGGGAATCTCTTGGAAGTTGTTTTGTCCAGTTCTAGGTAGGAAATATTGCTCGTGGCCCGACCTCCACTGGTTTGATCCAGTGCGTAAAGCAAGGGCCTGTTGGGAAGAATCTAGGAAGAATCTATACGTATAAATGCATCCTTCTTTCCTCCGTTACTTTTTTCCTCTTCTTCATCTTTCCTTCTTTATTTCCTTATTACGAGGCAAATGATGTTTTCGAGGAAAGATTCTTTTTTTAGGAGAGTTAATAAGAAATCGTGAGATCTTTCGAAAAGAGTGATCGTAACACGATTTATTGGAATTTCTTTTAAAAACGGGGAAATATTAAATATAAATGAACTCATGAATTCAACTCGACGAAGGTGAACGGCTGATTAACGGTTAAAGCGCAGATTTCAGATCGATCGATCGATAAATGTTATTTTAATCTGTCGATTAGAGGAGGATGTTATCCGATAAGCGAGGTATAAATGAGAGGAAGACCGATTGAATCCTTATCGAGCATTTGCAAACAAGGTTCGAGGTTCGCAGGGAATCGAAAAATCAATTTGTACGAGGTAGGATATTTTCCACCCTTCGACGAGGTTAATTTATTTTTTGTCTGAAAAAAAAATGTACACACTTGCCTAAAATTTCGAACTACTTTTCGAACTGTGAAGAATCTTTATAATTTTATCGCTGGTTCTAAGAAATGGCAAATGATGTGTAGAAAACTAAATAAAAAAAAAATATGAAACGAACGGCAAAGTTCATTCTTTCGTATCAAAAGCAACTGGCGCGATTTCATTCAGACACAACCGCAATGTCCTGCTTTTCGGCTGCTACTTATCGAACGTGGCTTTTTATCTGACAGGCAGAAACCTGAAAATTCAGCGAGTGTTCATTAAAAAACTTTACGAGCACTCGCAAAAAACGAAACTGTCGAAACAACCTCTATAGAACACTTCAACACTCGTAAAATAGTACTTTAAAACACTATACAAATTCGAATCCTTTTCGAAAATTTCTCTTTAAAACGATAATCACGTGTCTTGTAATTAACCTTCATAATCGAAGAAATTTCCAAAAAGAAAGAAAAATAATAATAATATATCCTCCTCCAAGAATTCAGAATTCATTCCCTTCTTTCATTCTTGAAATCGTCATCGATATAAAATCTTCGGGACGAGATGGTTTTCGGATTTACAAGCAACCTGCTTCCACATTATCGAAACACAAACGTTAAACCCCATGAACGTCGTCGTTAAACGTGTCCAAGACATCTCGTGTACACTCTAGGTCCGATAAGGTGCAAGCGACTCGGCAAGAGGCCTAGCTGCATCGAGAGGAGAGCGAAAGAGCGAGAAAGAGGAAGGCGTGCGGGGGTGTTGAGACGCAGAGGAGGGGAGTCGGGTCGAGAGGAGGGCTGGACAGCCTCCGATAAAGGGTCGTACACCCCGAGCGGCACGCGTGGCCGCTGCTATCCCTGTGTATCTGATTTGACGAGTCTCTTTCTCTCTCCTTTCCCCTCTTCCCCTATCTCTGTCATTTCAACGCGACGAATTGAATGTTTACGAGCGGTGTCGTCATGGTAATGCGTGGAACGCGTAAATTTGCGAAATTTCGTATCGATCGAAACGAGTGAAATTGGAAAAACGTTCCATCTCTGAAAACGTTTCCCAAAATATATATATATATATATATATTCTATCCGGCCATTGTGACACTTGTGTTTCACGTGAATTGGCTTTTGTTGAAATTTCACTTTAACGTCGTTTCATAGGGAACAATGGGTTCGGGAATAATACAATGCATGGCCAATTTGCGTTATCGAAACGTTCAAGTTGTT